CAGATCCATTACACAATTACTGTGTCAGATCCCTTGAATAGGACAAAAAATTTTACTCTTGTTGAATTTTTTTTTTTTTTTTTTTTTTTTTACCATTTTTTTAAGGAAATCGCCTTCAGATTCTGTTTATCTGATGTATATGTTTTTTTTAGGACTCCCACTTCTTCTTTAATCCTCAATTAGTTCTGTTTTTTTAAATATATTTTTTAAGATTGCCAAATTTTCTATAATAGATATTTGCAAATCACCTTGTTGGTGCAAAAATATTATTTTATGCCTGGCAAACTGTGTTAATAAAGTGCATAACGATGTTATGCACGATATGTAGACATAAAACTGATTCACCGCTTTACTTTTGTGTCTTTTTGTTTGTTTAAATGATTCATATGTCATTGTTAACAGTCTGTCAAATTCAAGGACTAAACTGAAAATAGGTGATAAAGCAGCAAATGTCCAAAGCAAAACTCAGAAAGACCTGCAGAAAGTCTGGAGAACTATTAGTCAAGTCTTTTAAGAGAACATAGAGGAAAACACAAGTCACTGAAAATTCAGTTGGTTAAAAGGAGTCTGGCTCATCAGACACAAACTATAAAGATTGATGTAATCCCTTAACCCAAACCAGACTAAAGAAATCTGAAAGTATATGCTCTCTGTGAGAGGTTTATCAAACAACACCTTACAGATTAGTTCATCTCATACTGAAAAGACCAAAGCCCGTTGGACAAGAGAAAATGCTTCCTAAATGAAAACGTGAATCTTATATAACATCTATAATAACTCTTTGAGATTCAGTGCACTTTGCACGTGTAATTGGGTGTAAAATAACATTGTTGCATCTCAATGTGTCAGGCTCACTTTGATCCAACTTAAAAGTCTGGATTGATTAAAAGTTATTAATATTGAATTGAGGGGTTTCTTTGTGTTGACTGACCACTGGCTGCAGGGCACGAGCTACATACTGAGCAACTTTCAGCTAAAGATGAAGTTCTGAACTTTCACGCCAGTCCTCAGGTTTTACCCAACATTAACTTAACAGACTGATATAACAATGCATCAAGGTGAATTAGTGCTGTGCGATACTGCACACCACCAATTTTGGTATTTATCCCATACCAAGTAAACACAGGGCCAGAATTACCAATACCAATACCGATACCAATATTTTTAACCTATAAAGTTAGCTTATGTAGGGGAGAGCAGCGTCTCATGATTTTTGAGATTTTCAAACTGAATTTTTTTGTGGATCAAGAATTAAAAATGTGCCTGTACCTAAAGCTCTTTGTCAACTTCTGTTGTTTAAATGTGCTACAGGCTATAAATCTACTGGACTTGGCAGGTGACACAAAAAGATTAAGTTTTTTCATTTCCAAAAGGATAAGAACTTATTTAACACTATTCAGTGGGTTACATACTGAATTTTGAGGATAGAAAGTATTGATCCTATTGTGCTAGTATCGATCCGATACCGATACCAGTGCTGGTATCGATATTAGCGATATTTGGATTGCTCTAGAAGTAATACTTTTAATCATTTTAGCCAAAACTGAAGATCACAACCTTTATGAAGGTAAAATTTATCGCCAGGCTGTTGCATTAGACTGTTTGACATTTTTACCGCAGGAGAGTAACTCACTCATTGAACATTCAGTTGGCTAAAAGGAGTCTGGGGCAGGTTGGTAGGTCTGTAGCTAACATTAGCATTCTGGGATAAAATGTGGGTCATACCGCATGTCTGAGGACAAGACTGAAGCTTTCTCTCATTCATTATAGAGCAAACCCCACTGGACATGCTGATAATGGTACATTTTTTCTCAACACACAATGAATAAGTTTTTTCCCTCCTTTTTTTATGCTTTTTCACAGCATGATTTTTTTTTTGATTTTTTTTTTAAAGAGGCTGTTGTGACATCGGATGTGCAAGTTGTGAATTTTTTAAGTTTTCTCTTATCTATTTAATTAAAGTTGCCTTATTTCTATCATTCTTATCTCACCAGCGACTGGCTGCCTGCCTGCATGCAGTCTTCACCCTATTCTTAACATTCTCATTCACACATAATAAGCCTGTTTAATTGCATATGTGTGACCCCCACTCGTCTGAAACCAGTCACTGTGTCAATAAATTATAGTGAAGGCTAGGGCTGCTGTCTAGAATATTAATCATCCCTCTTGCTGTGTAATGCTGTTTTAGCCGACTGCACGCCCTCATTTGAATCACCTCTGCAGGGTCACTTGATTGAGCTTAACGAGGCTGTTAAAGCAACAGCTCAGCAGCTTTTAGAAATACATTTATTCACTTTTGGTTGAGACTTAGATGAGCAAGACTGCTGTATATATGCCTTATGAATACATAAAGCTAAAGCTAGAAGCTAGCTCAGCACAAAGACTGTGAAGGG